CTCTTCTCATACCCCTAATCATTTTAGTTGCCCTTCTCTGAACCTTTTCTAATGCCAGTATATCTTTCTTGGGTAGTAACAGCTAATTTAGACCCCATCAATTTATATGTATAGTTGGGATTATGTTTTGCATTGTGCATTACTTTTCATTTATGACCATTAAAGTTGTCTGCCATTTGTTGCCCAGTCACCCAGTTTTGAGTTACAATCACACTTGTTTGTATTTGGCAACTCAAAAGAGAAGAATAGATCACTAGTGAAACATCGATCAGAGTTTGCAATGTAAGCCCCTCAAAATCTGAAGCTAGATGAAGGTCATAAAAATGATGACAGAGACCATTAAATTGTATTGGAAATGGTGCAAAACTAGAGCTGTTTTCAAAGACTAAACAGATTATTTCATGAAAAGGGATTAAAAACTTGGAGACCCCAAAATAGCCTGTACCCTTATGAAAGGAAAACGTGGCTCTGCTCATAGAAGGCTTTACAAAACCTAGAAAAACACTGCTAATCATTAAGAACATTATTAGTTGCAATTACGTAAATTTCAATAAAAGGCAGTCAGCGGTAGAATCGGGAATATAACCTAGGAATCCTGTGCAGCAGTTTGCTTTTCTAGCTACTAGATATGCTCCCTTGCTTTTCTTTACTTCAAGGAGATCCTTTCCTTTTTCTAAATAAGGGGGCTTTTGCCCACATGAGACATTGGGGGCTTCTTGTTCTTAGAAAATGAATTCCTGCTTTGTTCACTTGTGTTACAGCCTGAAAAATAACCTGCCAATTTGAAAAAGGGAATGAAAATACTAATGAATGCTTCTGACTTACTACCGCAGCTTCCAGTGCACTTGATGTATGAAAAGCCAACAACATCTCACTGTAGCAATGCTTTCTCTTTGGATGCTATGCTTCTTATTCAATTTCTTTATTTTTGTGTGACTAATTTTATTACGAATCCACGTGCATTTAAGCACGAGGTTGTTTTAATGTGAAATTTAAATGTTCTTCGTTTAATTTAAATCAACAAAGCCTCAGTTAATCTTTGAAAGCACTTTAAGCCTCCTGCAAAATGTTCTATTAATGTGAAAAGAGTTGTTCTGTTACAGTTCTGTAGATGACCAGGCGCCACTGGGTGTAATGACTTAAACAAATTGAACCTGGAACATTGTTCTTAAATATTGCTTTAATTAGGGTGGTAAAATTTATTTTTTTAGTAGAAGACTGAAAAAGCAAATAAAAACCAAACAAACCCATTTAACTCATAGTATAACAAATCCTAAATAACTTGCCCCCATAACTAGTGGGTTGAATTCTTTGTGCTTGATTTAGTTGTGGTCTTGCTTTGAGCAAGGGGTTGGATTAGATGACCTCTTAGGTCTTTTCCAACCCTAATATTCTACATGCAGGAAATCCTATGCAAGCGCATTCGTTGCAAATGATGAACCCTCCATAAGCAATAGTGAGTATAAAAAGCACACTGGTGACATATAAGGATATAACATCCATGTTTGTGCATATTCTTGATATGAAATTTAAGCCCATTCTAGAGCTGTTACAGGAATATTGAGATCAAATAACATTTTTTTTCTTGTTACTTTAAAAATAAATATCCCAATAACTTCAAAGCAACCATTCAACAGAATACTCAAAGCAGCTATTCCGTCTGGTAACTGTTTTAACATTTTCTTTTGAGAAATTAAGATGATATTGCTTCAGTTTAATCCAGGAAAAATTATACTTTTTAGTAATTCGTGTTGGGTTTTGGTGACTTCCAAATAGATGAAAGTCAGATGCTCCCTATTGCTGCACAAACAAGCCCCATTTAAATCTGATGCAATTTTGAAATGGCAGGTTGTGAGCTTCTAAGAACAGGGGTTGTACATAAATTACCCACGAAGAAACAATGACTTTGGAAATGCAACCAGAAAGCAGCATAATCTGTGTTACAACTGTAACATTCTGTGGAGCCACAAGCAGTTCGTCATGAGAATGAGCCTCTTCTGTCATCTCGGGTAGTTTGCCAAGAAAAACATCAGATTGCTTTTATTATCACTAGGGTTTTGAAGCTATTTGTACTGATATTTTGGATCTTCTGGACATCATCAGAAAAAGAAAACAGCCCAAAAACCCTCCAGCGTTGAGCTCTTTGCTTGCAGTGTATAAGCAGAGCACCCAAAGTGTTTTCCAGGCACTTCAGACACCCTCTGGTGTTCCCAGAATTAATGCTTATGCGACTTGGTAGTTTGTATGTTTTAGCTACTGTGAAGATGCAGGATTGCATCAATCTGGAGCTGTTTTGTAAATCTTTGGAAAAGTCCCACACCTCATTTTTTCTGTCCATATTCTACTCTGCACTGTTTAGGTTGTTTTGGTCTTTCATTAATTATCAGCAGAGTATTCCACTGTCATTCCTGTGTGTGCCAATCGGCAGGATGTTTGTGCAGCTGATGCTGTTACTTGGCACTCCTATATTTACTGTTCTTGCATTTTTTCCACATTGCCCTCAAGTGGTAGGAAAACAAATGGTTCTATGTGGCCCTTACTCTGGTGTTAGATGTGCCGGTAAGGAATGGTAATTCTCTCCCCAATCTGCATCAACCATTGGTGGGCCAAGCAAGATGGCAGCGCCTGGGCCTTAGTGACTCCATGTCCTGGTTTTACGGGAACAGCCCTGATACTCTGAGCATTGTCTTGTACAGGCACCTATTATTCCCACCCCCATTCTGATTTTTTGCATGCTCTCTGGTCACCCTACCCTCAGGACTGCTCTTCTTTGATAGGAGGTGTCTGGCACCTAGAGGAGCAGGGCTATTACTCCACCTCCCTCCGGCACCAACCAGCGGAGGGAAGAGGGTTGCATGCCCCCAAGGGATGTAGCAGTGCAAACACAGAGCTCCATGCCAGGGAACTCTGGGAGACACCGGGTATCCCAGTACTCCTCCTGGGGTGGTACAGAGCTGCAGCTCCCCCTGTTTTAAATGGCAGGCTAGTCCTTACACTCCAGGTCCACTTAGTTATGACTGTCCAGCTAGGAGGACTGCACCTACAGAGCATCCTTACCTCAAAATAAGTGACTCAATTTGCACTATGCAAATTGTGTAGCTTGTTTTGAGTGTATTTCAAAATAGCTTATTTCATAATTTGGCAATGTCTACACAGCACCCAATTTCCAAATAAACTGCTATTCCGAAACGTCCCTTAATCCTCGTGGAATGAGGTTTACAGGGATATTGGAATAGCACACCCGTTATTTCGAAAGATATTTCTAAATAATGGGCATGCTGTCACAACTCGGAATAGCTATTTCAGAGTACTGGAAGTATCTTGAAATAGCACCACAGTGTAGACGTACCCCTCATAACGTGGCATGACAGTTACTCGCCAATGTGAAATGTACTACTAGGGATATTTAAAATAATCTTCCAGATCTTAAAAGGCCCTGGCCCACCTATGCCACCCTGCTCCTCCTCTGACTATGCCCCTTTGCTTCTTGTTCTCTGTCGGAGCATCTTCCCTGACACACTCCCTTCATCTCCTTCACCCTCTCCAGCCTTCGTGCTTTCTTCCATGTGCCTCTCCCCTACTACTGGGGAAGCCACTCCTGTCACACACTGAAACCCCTCTCTTCTGTGAAGAGTTCCTGTTCCGCCAACCGATCGCCTCCGATCCTGCACTGCCCTGTTCTGTAAGTTCTTTACTGGAGGGACTCACTTGTTCTTCGTTGGCAAAAACCCACAGTCATTAAATGTCTCTTCATCTTCACAGTGAAATAACTTCATTCAAAAACATCCCCAGGGGTCCAGGAATCTAATAAGAACCTGACAGGGAACCTAATCAAGCCCAAAATTCCCAGCCCCACTTAGTTCATACTAGAAACCCCAACACTATAGGAAAGTTCAGGCCAGACAGAAATGAGTAGGTGCTTCCCAGAAATCCAGGTAATGCTCCCAGGAAGGAAGGAAAGTTTGAACTGAATTCATCTGCTACCTGCTATGGGATGAGGTTATCCTAACGTGCAGAGATGCAAACTGTGATGCAGATGCTGGGCCCTGTGGCCTGATGCCAGCCTAAAGATGTCAGGAAAGGGTTTGCTTTTTTACTGGTAGATCTTGGGGAGTTTCTCTTCAGCTCTGCTGTTCCCCCATCGGACTCACTGCACAGAATCAGTTGCTTTGCAGAGAGAAGGCCCTGTCCATATGTACACACAGGCTACGTTTACACTGTGCCCATGTTAAGGCAATGTGAAGGGGCCTTTGTGCAAATGAGCATCAGACTGTTGAGCAGCTTCTGCTTACAGACAGGAAATATAAGGGCTTGGACTAACCTGCCATCCTTGGTATCCGTAATCTACTGTTGTCAACAGAGGCTTCTGGTAGGAATATTTGTTTGGTTTCTGTAGTTTGTAGAGATTGAGTGTGTCCTACAACATACTTGGAAAGCCAGGAGCCTCTTCATGGCAAGGGTTTGTGATTTTTTTTTTTTTTTTTTTGTAAGCTATAATGTTCAGTCTACTTTAGCTTAGGGTAGATACTTCTTTTTGAATACAGTACTCACATGTGCTTTGATTTTTTTTCCCACCATATTCCTCCAGAAATGTCTTTCCAGTGTAGGCTACATTATTCCTAGTGTTTAAATGGCAAAGGATCAGTTGTTGGTGGGGTTGGTGTTTTTGTTGCACTGCTTTGCAATTCTGACACTTCACTGATCTTCTGAGTGTGCTGAGCTCTAAAATGTTGTGATTCGGAGAAGAATGGACCAAGGTCAGATGCAGTGTTACCGTGTTCACATATGTCCTGTCTAGATTTGGTATGATATATTTATCTTTCTCATAACTTTTTTGCTGTATTGGTATAAGCCTCTCCATTTTCTCAGTAAGATTTCTTTATGATGTGGCTTTATGGAAATCCTTGGGATGGGATGACCTGTCTTTTGAAAGTGATCAGGTTATTTCCAACTCTTTATGTGCACTAAAGGAGCCTGGCACAAACAAGTTATGGTGATACCTCTCTTAGTGCTGTAGCTCCCTTGTTATAAAGTGGAACCTGCAAGCAGATGAGAGGGAGACAGCACCCATGGGTAGAGGGTTACGCACTGTTGAGAGCCCAGAAAGGTAACCTGCGAGAAAAGCAACACCATCCTTCAGAATTTGTTCCAGACATTTCTCAAACTGATTTCTACAGAGTTGGCATTTACCTTTACAGTTCAAAAGTACAATCTGCCTGATCCTCATGCAGTCAGGCCCCCCACTCCCAGGAGGTATAAATGTAATTTCACCAAAGCATGTAAAGGGCGGAGTGCAGCTGAGAGGCATTGTAAGGAAGTGTTTAAACACCACCTTTGGTTTTACAGACATAAAATGTAGGGGCCAGGTCCTCGGGTCTGTAGATAGCCCAGGGTTCGCCTGCTGTGAGGCAAGCAATTGACTCGTTTTCCAGACACCCGCAAAGCTGCTCCCTGAGGGCCAGGGCTCCCTCTATGCCGGGGGCAGCACAGCCCCGCAGCTGCTTACGGACCCCGGCCCAGGCAGGCGCTCAGGACTGGCATGTGGAGCTGCCTTGGCTGTGGGAGGGACACAGCAGCTCCTGCTGAGGACAGAGCGGCGAGTCTCCCCCAGCCGGGGAGCTGCTGCTGTCCCTGAGGGAGCAGGGCCCTTCCCCCCGCCAGGCAGCTCAGTGCGCCAGTCCTGAGCCCCTGCCTGTGGGCCCCTAAGCAGCTGTGGGGCTGTGCTGCCCCCGGCCTAGAGGGAGCCCGGCTGAGCGGCAGGACTGCTGTCCTGGGACACTGGAAGAGGGCGCTCCTGAGCGGGTGTGTGGGTGTTGGGATCTGCCGGCTCAGGGCTGAGTGTGGCATTCTGCCCGCCCATAGCACAGGGACAACGTGGGCTGGGAGCAGCCGATGCCGATCCGCGCCCTCAGGAGTGTCCTCGTCTCAGTGTCTCAATGACCTAATCACATGCATCCTACTTCAGAAGACATTCAAAATCTGCACTTGAAAGGGAATCCTCTGAACTGGCATTCATGCTAAAATTTGACACTCTACGCAGGGGGCTGAACAAAGACCCCAACTACCTTACCCATTACAAAGATAGCTTCCCCAATTATCACCTCTAATACCATTAACTCACAGACATCTCTCCTTCCCCACCTCTAATATCATTAACTCACAGGCATTTACCTTCCTTCCCCCCCCACACATCCCCCCTCTGTTCTGAAATGTGATTTGTCCTTTTCATATGTGTTCATTTTTTTAATTGTATCCTTTGATATATCATCCCCCTTCTGTTCTGAAATTTGATTTGTCCTTTTTATATGTGTTCATTTTTTTAATTGTATCCTTTGGTATATATGGTTGTGACAATTTTCTTCCACTATTTGATCTGAGGAAGTGGGTCTGGCCCACGAAAGCTCATCACCTAATAAACCATCTTGTTAGTCTTTACAGTGCTACATAGTCCTGGTTTTTGTTTCAGCTACACCCGACTAACACGGCTACATTTCAATCTCTCTTCTCAGCGTTCAGGGCTGGGAGCCTGGCTCAGGGCCAGCTCAGTTCTCAGTGGGGCCTGCCAGGGCGGCGTGGCCGGGGAGAGGGACTGCTCCAGCTTGGTAGCTCTGAGCGAGGCACAGGGGCGTTAAACACGGTCCTCTTGCATCAGGCAGGGACCCAGGGTAGCACTTGGCCCCAGGGTGAGTCTGTGGAACGGGGCAGGGCCAGTGGGAAACCAGGACCTGAGACTGACAGTCCCTAGGGCCAATTGGAGGGGCCAATGCTCTAGGGCAGTCTGACTGACAGGGTGGGCAGGCCAATGAGGGTGTCAGGAGCCCAGGGCCCGCCCCCGTGTGCGCGGCGCTGCCTGAGGGGGGAGCTGGGCTGGGAGAGGGGCGGGAGGCAGAGGGGCTGGAGGAGCTGCCCGGGCAGCTGGGCAGTGCAGGGCCAGGCCCATGCAAGGGGTCGCAGTGGGGGGAGCGCTTCCCTCCCCACCCTGCACCTCCAGTCGTGGTTAGCAACTCGGGTTCAAAGCAGCCTCCCGTGCCGCCGCCCTCTCCAGCGTGCGGAAACCGCCGCCTTGCCTGCCAGATGGGTGCATGCTCCTCTGCCTGCGGGAGGGGAGCGATGGGCTGGGCCGAGGGAGTTCTACCAGTTTTCCACGGGTTGCTAGTGATCGACACGTTCCTGCAGGGAAAACAGTGTCTGCAAGTGGGCTAGAGCGTCTTGAGTCAGCCCGTGTGCGGCTGCAGCGCTTGGTAGCTGCTTCTCTTCTCATACGGGAAGAAAACCCAAAAGGACGTTACTAGGACACGTAAAATACTCCTGATTCTAACTAGGGAGCCCCCGTTCTTCTCTCCTACGAGCTGAGTGTAGAACGGATCACTTCTGACAGCCCTTTGGCAAATTGAAAACTACAAGGTTCCTTAAGGCACAGTTCGATTCTTCCCTTGCCCCAGATTGTGTAATCAGAATGTCTATCAGCATCACTTCTGTAAGTGAATCATCCTTCGTTCCAGCCCCCTCCTACTTTTACTTTTATCTGTCTTCTTGCTTTGATGTCACGTGTGATGTGCTGTTTCACCATATTTGTAACATAGGAAATTCTATACAAACCTAATTCCCTGATACTATGTCATGCTTAACGCGTTCGTAAGAGTGAATAATCCTAACTGGATCCAGCTTGATGCAATACGCTTCTTTAATTACCAGCCACATAGTGATTAAAGTTTACAACATAAAGCTGCCTTCAAATTATGTATCTGGAGCTGAACTTCTCTTTTTATAGCTGCACTATGTACTATAGCAAATACCACATAACGCAGGCCGCAGAAACCTGAGTAGGATTCATTGATTGAATAGAAGCAATTACTTGTATTCCTCTGTACTGCTGGACATCACAAGTAAATGCTGAGGGGTACCTCCTGCCCAGAAGGCTTTCCCCAGGACAAACCTAAAGCTAATCTCAGCATTTCTGAACTGAAAGAAGAATATTTATTGCCATTTTCCTGAAACAAAAGTTTTCTAAAATGTTCCCTCTGTGTGTCTGCTTTGAATAGATACATGAGAAGGAAGGACACGAGCTTATTCGAGGATTTAGTTAGATGTTTTGAAGAACTCAACTTTTGCTTTACCTTATCCCCTACACCAGGGGCAAGCAATAATTTTTGGCGGGGGGCCACTCTAAGATTTTGGAATGTGGTCAAGGGCTGCATTTCTCTGTGGAGGAGATGCGGGGTCTAGGATGGAGGTTGGGTGCAGAAGGGAACTTGAGATAGGGGACTAGGGTGCAGGAGACGGTGTGGGGTCTGAGAGGGGGGTCAGGGTAAGGGATGGTGTTTGGGTGCAGGAGAGGATTCTGGCCTGGGGGTGCGTACGAGGGGATACAGGGTCTGCTTGCTGCTCCTTCCATGTGGCTCTCAGCTCTGGGAGGGGGAAGAGGCTTGCACTGCCCCCCCCTTTCCTTAGGCCAATCTCTCAGCTCCTATTGGCTGGTTGTTTCCAACCTATAGGAGCTGAGGATTCAGCCTCCCAGGGACTGCACTTGAAACCACAGCAGCTGTGTGCCTGAGGTCCTGGCAGGGCAGTCTGTGGTCCAGATCAGTGGTTTGGCAGGCCAGATCTGACCCCTGGGCCATATTTTACCCAGCCCTGCTTTAATGTTACCTAGGACAGGTGATGTGTGGGCCACTTGGTAGTGCTCTATGGACAACCGGCTAGTCACAGATGAATATTTCTCTTCCTTGTCACCATGTGATACTTCACAGTAGAAGCAGTTAAAAATTTATCAAATACTTTGTAATATATGCAATTCCAGTAGATTGTTTTTCAAGTAGCTGTCCACAGACACCTTCTTGGCGGGTCACTGACGTTATGCATGGGTACAAATAGGAATGATCAGGCAGCAAAAATACTGACCAGTGAACAAATCAGATTAGTAAACCAGGCCTTTCAAATGTATGTGAAACACCGAAAATCTGATACCTCCTCTAACAAAAGTTAAGAAAGCTCACAATGTTAAGGATATCAAGTTGTCCATCCTGATGGTCAGACTCATCTTCTGTATTAGATGAAGTGATTCCAATACAGACAATGTAAACGAGTTCACAAAGTTCTCTGGGATCTTTCTTAATCAAAAGCATCAATTGGGATGGTACTCAGGGTGAGCCACGGTTGCATTACAGACATGCACAAATCCGAATGTCACAACTGTGCATATTTTATAGCTCCACAACAGTAATTAGGCAGTCTGATGGAAAATTCGTATTTCAGTCTCCTGAGAGTCATTACGAGCTAGGCAGTAAAGTATACAGCCACATTTGCAGTTTACCATCATTATATCATTCACTGTTCACTGTAAAAGAGTAAATTTTTTCAGGGGAAGATAGGGTCTAGCTGGGTATGTCATGTAGACTTCAAGGAGTTTTACTTTAGTACATTATTATTGGACCAAGATACTTAATGCATTAACCAACAGGCCAGAATAGTCAGTTGTTGCAGTGACGTTCTGTTGTGAATATAAAGGGAGGGAGGTTCCACAGACGTGAAGGGGGAAGAGATGTACAAGATGATCTTTGTATTAAAATGTGGGCTGCATTACAAAACCCTTGCCCTGGGAACAGGTCCTAGCAACTTGTGGTGTTGAACAGCCAGGCTCTAGAGCAGAGTGGGCAATACTTTTTGAAGTGGGGCCCCGGGCTGTCCTGGAAGGGGTGGGGCCTTGGGTGGAAGGGGTGGGGGCAGGCGACCTCTTGTGCTTCCCCGCCCACAGACCCTGATTGGCCTGGGGGTAGGGAAGCAGGTGAAGTCTCTGCCCTCCTGCCGGCACCTAGGGAGAACTGTTTTAAACAGCTGGCAGTTCACTCTGTGCCGTGCGCCCCTGGCAACGGGAGGAGACTTTGCAGGCTCTCTGGGGCCTGGAGACTTGGGAAGGTGCAAAGTCTCTTGCCCCCTGCCCCTGTCCTTCCAGAGATACACGGTGCCTAGGGGGTACCACCAGCTGTTTTGGCCCCGGGCTGTCTTCAAAAGGGGCGAGGCCTTGGGCAGATGGTAGGATTGCCAGATGGTTTAACCAAAAATACCGAACAACCCCTCGACTCCCCCCCCCCCAAAAAAAATAGCCACTGGGG